CGTTTTTTGCAGGTGTGTATATGTGGTGTGTGTGAGTGTTCAGGGAGGGTGTGTGTGTGTATGTGTGTGTGTGTGTGTGTTGTTATTTATCATTTACATATCACAGACTGTGATAAATAAAAAATAAATCCATCCAACATTTATTATATAGGTAAATCATAATTCATGTTTTTTTTCATTATAGTAACAGTGACTTCATGTAAATAAAATGGCAAATAAATTGTTAAAATCCTCAAAAGGAATGAATATTTGATATTTATAATCTGAGTAGAAGTTGGTTAAAAGATTTAAGCAAACAAATGTAGAGAAAAATATTAATATTTTTATGGTTGTTCACACTGTCCCGAAGAAGACAGGTGTGATTTTTTTATAAGGGGGCCCGCAGGGTTAAAAAGTAAAGGCTTCTTATGAAGGTGGTGTGAGCTTATATTTTGAAAGTTGTAGACATAAGCCATGTGACCTAATGAAACTTTGACATGTGTGATGATCAAACAACACATCCATATTCATTTGAAATCATGTGACCTAGTGAAAGCTTGACTGATGGCTGGCGGCTGTGAGGATAAGTGTAGCAGGCAGACACAAATACTAGTTAATTTCAGTGGAGAAACTGAGCAGGACTACATGTATTTGATCATGGAATGCTGCAGCACAGTTTTAGCTACAGATTTGATGAAAATTCTAAATGAGGCTAAGAGTTTGACCAGGAAATCTTGCATTTACATGATTTTGCTATCAGGCATTCATTTAGGAAAATGTAGGAATGAGACACATGAGCTGGTCAATTTGGTCAATGTTATCCTGTCAGGTGTGTGTGACAAAACACACAAACACACACACACACACACGCTTGTGTCTGTCAGAGTGAAGCTTTTGTTATGCTAGTTAATGACTGCATAAAGCTGACAGAGAGACTAGGTGAGAACAAAATGGATCGAAACTTTCTCGAACTACTCCTTCCAGTTCTCAAACCGTGGGTCCAATCTTCAATCTGAAGGCATCACCCGACAGATAAACTTGTTCTGAACGCAGACATATATAGCTTTTATGTCTATGACCTCAAAAATGTGACCTTAGAGACAAGTTTACAATGTGTTGGCCCTCATCTTTTCTTACAGAGATCATCATGAGGATTTGTGTCTTGCACCTTCGTACACTTCTAAAATCCAAACCGTTCCAGTAATGACAAAGTCCTTCACAAGTAATGTTCACCAGGGGTAGAGCTATCATGTGTGCAAGATTGAAGCAGTTATGATAAACAATGTAGGAGCAAATATTTTTTAAGAGAGAGAATTAGTGAAAAACGTCATCTTACATTGAAAGGGCAATAGCGCACTTCCTGTTGGAGATAGGTTAGTGGTTGCGGCACAAGATTTGTAGGTCTTGATGACACGAACGAGCCAGTGTTGGTTTGGTTTTTCTACGGGATTCCTACCGGTCGCAACAGGCATTTTAGTGTGTCTAGGTGGCACAATAAATCATCAGGAGGTTTTGTAAGACATCACCTGGAAGACGCCATAAAATCCAAACCATTTGAGTGATGAAAAAGTTATACAGTATATTTGATTAGGACGAGTTGATCTGTCATGTGCGCGAGTTTGAAGCCCATACGATAAACGATGTAGGAGGAGTTGATTTTTTAAAGCAGCTGTGCGGAACTTTTCGTTTTCGTTGATTATAGCGCCTCTTTGGTCGAAGCGGTATGACACCCACAGCCTGGTGTCGTAAAATTCCGATTGCAGCCGGCAATTACCGCATGCATTTGTTTTGGAGAGCGAGAGGATTAACTAACGTCAGGTCAGTCCAAGTAATTAGTGGAAACAACAAAATTACTCAGTAAATTGTCCTGTCGTGTTTCTGTTCTGATCTAATCTAATCTGTTGTGTATTTTGAGCTACTAAGGCTACCGTAGTAGTGTGAGCCTCAAGTTATTCTGGGTAATGTAGTAACCGTTGTTGTGCTACTGGAAACAATGAGAAGCAGCCGTGTACGATCGGTGTAAGGAGGAATAAACAGTTAACAAGTCATCTGCTGAGTCTGCATTATTATGTGAAAAGAATACTCCGACGATTTGGGAGTTATGCCCTTTCTCTATCATTTTTATATTGAGACAGCGGTTAGCAGTACATCTTGCGCGGAGGGATACACCGGTGAGCAACTGCTGCAGCTGGCTCTGGGACAGGTACGCTAGGTCACTCGGTAAAAGCAAACAAAGGGACGACACGGATGATATTACTCACTCGACTGAAAGCTGTCCATCAGCTCCTGCAGGCCTGGGGCCTTTTTTTCCAGTTCATCTTAGGAACATGAAAAAAAGTTTCAATCACGCCAGGATTAGTGATTGCTGCAAAGTTTTCACTCCTTGTGATGCACTCTCTGCGGCGCTTTTCCTCCTGATGATATATCTCCCCAACGATGGTAGCACCGAATCCCATTCTGTGCAGCAAAATGGGAGCGGAGGATTCAGCCTCTCTTCTCGCCTGCTCAGCATCCAACACATGGAGTTCCTCATTTGTGTACTCCGGCTCAAACAGGTAGTATGGCTCTGGATCTGTGTCCGCTACAAGAAACTCTCAAAATCGCGTTAAAAGTCGTCCATTGCAGCTTCTATAGTCCGGAGATATTGCTAGGCTAAATAAACAGCTGAGTTTTGTTTACAAGCTACGTCTGTGCCTGCTCACTGGTGTATCCCTCTGTGGATCACAGCGCAGGACGTACTGACCCCCTATAAGCGCAATGCTAACCGCTGAGACCCAGCCACTGGATGTACAGACACAAAAAAGATATCGATCATGTTGTCTCAATATGAAAATGATAGAGAAAGGGCATAACTCCCAAATCATCTGAGTATTCTTTTATGTGAAGATACACAGTGAAGACATAACATAATCCTAACACAGTAAAGCTGTTACCTGCAGCCTTCGCTTGCAAAGCTAACGCTACTAACATTAGGTCAGTCCAAGTAATTAGTGGAAACATGCTAACGTCACACACAAATTTGTAGTAAAGTAAGACCTGTTCATAAATGTTCTGGTGTAGCTCTGAATTTCTTATAAACTGAGGACAACTGCCTGCTCCTATATTTGTGTTCATGGTCACAGTCACAGATCATTTTAGATGATGCTCCTTCTTTATCCGCCATGACATCAAAAGTACAACCAAGTCCTCATAGATACATCTCTGGTAAAACTCTTAGGTGTTATGTGTTCAGCAATGCCCGTTGCGTACTGCTTACTCCAAGAACACTGTAAACACGGCTCCTTCTTCTGTGGTTTAATCGCTGCGGGCGAGCAGAATCACTTCCGCCTCGGGTGCCGTATTCTGGTTTGCTGACTTCCGCTGTGTGTCCGACCCGAGCGAGGCTACGCTAAATAGCCATATAGAGAAAGGCTTTTTTGTCGCTGTTGGGTTCAAATAAATATGCGGATCTTCAAGGGGGGGTGATACGAACTAGGGACAGTTTTATTAATGGTAAAAAGTTCCGCATTGCTGCTTTAATCACTCTAACTTTTCAATTATTTTTATAACATCCACCCCTCAGAAAGTTAGGAGCTATTCAGAAGGTAGATGTTTTGGAATAGAGCTGATTAGATCTACCCCTGTGAGTTGAATTCCAATACATCACCATTATCACTTTCAATTTCTTACCTTTACAAACACATATGCTGAAAAAAGGTCCAGCAAACTTTTTGTCTGCTCTTTTCTAATCACAGGTAGAGCTAATATTCAGTCTTTGTCATCTGTCTGCTATGGCACACCTGTATTCTGTGTGGATGGATTTTTGTGTATAAATTTGTGGATGTATTTTTTGTGTGTATTTGTGTTCTTTTCATTTACCATTTTACCTTTATAAAAAGCCTCCTGTAAACGTATTGCAAATTAGCATTTCACTACAAACACTAAACAAAATATGGTTCTTGTGCATATATGTACAACCCTACTGCTACTGTGATGCCCATATTAAAAAACTAAACTAAAAGAAACTTGTGTGTGTCAAATGACAAATATGTGAAATAGATACATAATTTTAAAAACTCTCTCACAAACAGCAGTGATAGGCCAAGGCTGTTTGGCCAAGGCAAATATAGACTAAGTTGACAGGCAAATTTTGAAATTTCATCATGTGGGAAGAAAGACAGAGGGGATTGGAACTCTAGGAGAACAACAAGAGGAAGAGGAGCAGGAAAGGGTGGGCAAGCATAGGATGCATATTTTTATTATTTTTTAGAATCAGATATTTGATATGATATTTAGTTTTTATATAATTTATAATAGATTGTCAGTGTGTTTTCTTGCCAGATTTGCTCAGAGAATGTGCAAAAAAGGCCAGACACCAAAACTATCACTGCAGATGTTGAGCCAGATAATAACTGCCCTGGAACTGTGCACCACAGTGTATCCTGCCAAAAAAAGTAACTCCAGTAACTACTGAACAAATAAAAGTCAAGCCAATTATTAATAATGCTCTGAGGGTTTCTGAACTTGCTGCTTTTGATCTATGTACCAGCTTTGTCATTAAAATTCCAAGTGTGACTTTGGGGCTGGTCAACATTTTAAGCCATGGACTTTGAAACTTGTCTGTACCAGGTACACCAATGCGAAATTGTCTTTCTAAAGGATATTTTTACTCTTATTTACTCATTTTACTGTAACACTATTGGTACTGTAATTGAATTGTTGATATATCCTTGTATGGGTGTTGTTGGCTGTTCCTTTGTTGCATCTGTGATGTGAGCATTCTCTTCATTACTGGAGTTTCATTACTGGAGTTTTTTACATTCAGTAAAATTCGGAGTGCTGAGGTTACAGCACTGCCTGCGAGTCCTGACAAACTGGGTGTTTGCCATCACCACAAATGGACCCATGAAAGCCAGCTAACACTAGCTAGACCCCCCTCTCCTATAATATGACAAAAAGTGGGTGGAAAACACATAAACAGAAAGTAATGTTAAACTAGTAATAATAAATCCAAACTTCACATTGGTTTCCAGTATACACACCTTTATTGGCGTGTCCTCTTTTTTTAACAGCAGCTAACAGAAGCTTCCACATAGTGTTGGCTGTGAGTCCACAAGATCCAGTGTTGCTGGATGGTTCAGCAGCAGAGGATTTTCATCATTTTTAAGATGCCAGAATGGAGACCTGTTCAGAATTAAAAGTGAGTGAGAAATGCATGAAGATACTTAAGTAAAGATATTTAAACGTCAATCTGATCACATGTGGAGGTCCAACGTAGGGATGCACCGAATATTCGGTAACCGAATATATTCGGCCGAATATTGCAAAAAAACACACATTCGGTATTCGGTGGAGTAAGTGAAAAGCAAGGCTGAATAATAGTGGCGTGTTTTGATGATGCAATTAAACAGCGTGCGGTGACGGACGGAGTAAAATGTCGGCAGTTGCGACTAAAAATAGTTTTGTGCGAGCAAAAGAAATCTTTCAGGAGCACGCTGTGCGAGTACAGATTTCAACCAGCAGCAGAAACGAAAGGCGAATCCTGCCGGTTGTGGGTTGAACGGGGGTCACAGACACAGACAGGAATGTATTCCTGTCAAATACGGCGGCCATAATGCTCCGCGGCGCAAGATAATGGTTTACCAGCGACGGAGAAGCCCAGTTCCAGGTCCAATAATTTCCTTTTCTTGGTGTCATGACTGCCCAAAAGTACCTGAACAGCCGAGCCGTGGCAGCACACAGGTATGTGATGTGTCAGAGGAGAAACAAGCCATTCACATTTCTCTCTTTGTGGCAGGTAACGGTCCACAAACCTCAACGCACTTAAAGGACTGTTCTTAACTTGTCAGGGGAGGAGGGTGGCTGGTTTATTTTTATTTTATGTATTTATTTTATTTCAATCCCCGCTATGTTAATCACTTATTGATGCCGTTTTTGAAGTATGAATAAGTCAGTAAGTAATTTATTCCACTGAAATATCATTGATACATTATACAAAAGTGATTTATCTTTTTATAAATGACAAAAGGCACATCTGTCTCATTTTCGTTGTGGTATCGTGATACTATCACTGGTATCATACCATGGGTCCCAATTTTGGTACCGTGACACTAATCTGGAGGGGGTTCATCTGTAAAGACAAATGAAAAACTAAACAACGGCATTCGGTATTCGGTATTCGGCCAAGCGTTTAATTTTATTTGGCTTCGGCCACAAATTTTCATTCCGGTGCATCCCTAGTCCAATGGGACGCAATTTAAAAGGGACCAATTATGCTCATTTTCAGGTTCACTTGTATTATGGGTTTCTTCCAAAACGTGTTTACATTCTTTAATGTTCAAAACACACATTATTTGCTTCATACTGTCAGCCCAAATACACCTGTATTCACCCTCTGTCTGAAGAGACTCCATTGTAGCACCTGTCTCTTTAAGCCCCTCTACCGAAAAAGCCCAGTCTGCTCTGATTGGTCAGCATTTCTGGATTTTCTACATCTGGGCACTGTTGGCAGAACTTCACACATACCCCTTTTGCACCAGCATGGAACCAGTTCACACCCAATTTTGAACCATTCAGACCATTTCGACTGTAAGTAAATTGGTTCAGAACCTGAAAAGTTGTTTCTAAGCTGGAACCAAAAATAGCAGGTTTTCCTTGACCTAAAGTGCAAACTGTGACATCAGTGGGCATGTCATATTCTACAGGTTGGAAAGAGAGAATGGAGAAGGCAATAATGGAAAGTCAAGTGAGAAATTGTCAAACAAAAAAAAGCATGCAGTGGTCTCATTAAAACTATTCATTCTTGTTTTTGTTTTTTTTCTGTAATAACAGAATAAAAGTTCACAGTTAATAGTTGTATTCTACAATTTTGTTGCTAGTGTTAACTTCTGATGTGCATTTTGCAACTCCCTTAGTTGATATCACATCCTTGATTATAATGGTTCCACGCAAACCTGATGGAAACGCGGGCTGGTTTGCTGGATAGTACCCAGGTTCCAAGAATCCTAAAAGGAACCAGAGATAATTGGTGGAAAAGGGTTAACAGAGGGCTTTCAGCCAGGAAAGGATTTAAGCCTAATTGTGGTTTGGGTTAAAATGAGTAGATGTCTGCCAGAAAGGGAGTCTTCTCCCATGTGTCAGCTGCACCCTTGGTGTCTCTGAAAAGCCATTGTAGCCAGCAGAATGACTGTAGAGGATAGCAGCACTTTCTACTGTACAAAAAAGACCAATAAAAGCTTCTAAGCAAATATGTTGAAAACTAGACATGATCCAACAGACATGATTCAAAATTGGGCTGAACTGAACAACATCAAGATTACATATTTCCGTGACATAAGTATCTAGCTACATTTAGCAGTGTAGACTATGTGATGTTAATACTTGAGATGATGACCATATAAATCAATCCGTCACAAATAGATGTAAGCTTGTCTCTAAAGAATACAAAAAAAAAAGACTGTTGGGAATGGAGTATTCAGAATGACCTAAAGCCAAGGTTTTTGCTCCCGGGAATTACTTTTGCATGTATTTATCTCATTATTTGAAAACTCTGGCCACTTTTAATGAGAACATCTGACATTAAAACATTATGACAGAAAATAAGGAAAAGTGTGATAGGGGCTTGTTGGTGCTTGTATGGTCCAAATATGCACTTGAGCTCAGAAGGTAGAGCGGGTCGTCCACTAAAGAAGATTGTCGATTTGAACCCCAGCTCCTCCGGTCCGCATGTTGTGGTATCCTTGGGCAAGATATTGAACCCCAAATTGCCCCCAATGGCTGTTCCATTGGTGTGTGAGTGTATTAAAAACTGAGTAGCAGGTGGCACCTTGTATGGTACCAGTTCGGCCACCAGTGTTTGAATGTGTGTGAATGGGTGAATGTGCCGCGTAGTGTAAAAAGTGCCTTGAGTGGCTGGAAGACTAGAAAGGCACTATACAAGTGCACTCCATTTACAATTTAAAGACAACCCATAATGATGTAATTGGATATGGCACACAGACATAATGTGGTGACAGCAGTGACAGTAACATGTCATTTTACGTCATTAGTGTGTGAGGGAATACCAGTTGGTTCACAGGTGCAGCACTTAACAATTGAACTATTGTCACATAAATTCAAGTCTGATATATCTGGATAAAATCTCTGTCATGAGCTAGATATAATCTCTAGCATTTTACATCCCTCAATCTTAGCAAAACAAAATGCAGTAAAAGCTGCTGTAGGTTTATGATGAAAGGTGGTTTCAGCTGGGTAGTCAGCTGGAAACGTTGGTGGTTTTTTGTATTGGCTGCCATTGTTTTCAGGTAAGCTGGCTAAGCAACAGAGGGCTGTCTGAAATCACTTCCTTGTTAACAGCTCATGGTGAACTTCTACCATTGTGCAATCGGTAGCATACTGACCTACGGCTTCACAGTGTGGTTCTCCAGCTGCCCTCCAGAGGGTGGTAAAAACAGCAGGGAGAATCATCGGGACCAGTCTCCTGGAGATCAGCACCATCTACACCACCCGCTGTCTGCAGCGGGTACACAACATCCTGTGTGACCAGCACCACCCTGCACATCACCTCTTCCACCTGCTGCCCTCTGGGAAGAGATACAGGTCCATCCGCACCAGAACCACCAGACTTGCCCACAGCCTCTACCCTCAGGCAGTGAGGCTACTAAATGAACAGCCCTCCCCCTTTCTGCCCCCCATCCATCTTCACACACCACATTCCACCACTACAATAACTGTGAACTAGGTCTTGCATTGCTGCAGCTCCCACACAGCATTCCACTCACCTCTGTCTACTGCCCCAACCCCTGTTCTGTTTCACACAGAGGATGGCAGTTGAAGACTGTACCACTGCACTTTTCTCTCTAGCACATGAGTGACCGATGAATGTCTATTTCTGCTACTGTAATATTACTGTCCTTAAATGTCTGGGTATTTGTGATTTTGTGTTTTTGCTGTGCTGGACTTTATTGTCATATGCATTTAATGCACTTTTTAATACTTCTGCTGGGCTTCTCTGGACATTAATGTCATATGCACTTTTTGCACTTTCTAAAAATGCTTCTGTGTCAGTATTAAGTTGCTCATAACAATATCTCATTATTTATAACTGTGTTATTATGACAATGACAAAAAAAGAATTGATTGATGGATTGAACTGATTCCCCCCTCGCTGTATGATATCCTCCTCCCCCACTCCTCCCTCTCACACCTCAACACCCTCCTGCTTGACACCCCCCCCGGCCCATGGTCAAGCCACTTTTGGACCCCCTCCAGTTCGCCTATCAGCCCCGACTTGGAGTTGAGGACGCCATCATCTACCTGCTCAACCGTGTCTACACCCATTTGGATAAGCCGGCAAGCACTGTGAGGGTCATGTTTTTTGACTTCTCTAGTGCATTCAACACCATACGTCCAGCTCTACTGGGTGACAAGCTGACAGCAATGCAGGTGGATGCCCCCCTGGTATCCTGGATTGTATACTACTTGACTGGCTGACCACAGTATGTGCGCTTGCAACGCTGTGTGTCAGACAGAGTGGTCAGCAATACCAGGGCCCTGCAGGGGACTGTCCTCTCTCCCTTCCTCTTCACCCTCTACACCACGGACTTCAGCTATTGCACTGAGACCTGCCATCTTCAGAAGTTTTCTGATGACTCTGCTATAGTTGGATGTATCACCAAGGGTGATGAGGATGAGTACAGGGCTGTTGTGGATAACTTTGTCACATGGTGTGAGCAGAACCATCTGCAGCTCAACGTGGCCAAGACAAAGGAACTGGCTGTGGATCTGAGGAGGACCAAGACACCGGTGACCCCTGTTTCCATCCAGGGGGTCAGTGTAGACATTGTAGAGGACTATAAGTACCTAGGGTACACATTGTCAATAAGCTGGACTGGGCTATGAACTCTAGCGCTCTCTACAGGAAGGGCCAGAGCCGTCTCTATTTTCTGAGGCGACTGAGGTCCTTCAACATCTGCCGGACTATGCTCAGGATTTTCTATGAGTCTGTGGTGGCCAGTGCTATCCTCTATGCTGTTGTGTGCTGGGGCAGCAGGCTGAGGGTGGCGGATGCCAACAGACTCAGCAAACTGATTCGCAAGGCCAGTGACGTGGTGGGAACGGAGTGTGACTCTCTGATGGTGGTGTCAGAGAGGAGGATGCTGTCTAAGCTACGAACTATCTTGGACAATGTCTCACACCCACTCCACCATGTGCTGGTCAGGCACAAGAGTACTTTCAGTGGGAGACTCATACCACCAAGATGTACCACTGATCGCCACAGGAAATCATTCCTCCCTGTGGCCATCAAACTGTACAACTCCTCCCTCTGAGTGGCCCTGAGCCTTTTTCACACACTGCAATAATCCAGTGTAACTTGTGCAATAACCCCATTTCACCCTGACTATATATACTATATATTCTGTTTGTGTAAATAATCTTGTTCATCTTACAATATATATATATATATATATATATATATATATATACGTTTATGTTTGTTAATAATTCCTGTTTATTTAACTATATATTTGTAAATACTATTGTTTAAATTTCTTATATTTTCACGTATCTTTCCTCTCTTGCAAGGAGCACCTGTAACATAAATAATTTCCCCTCGGGATCAATAAAGTATTTCTGATTCTGATTCTGATTAATAATTAACTGTAGTGAGCAGTAAATGGGGATTTCAGACACTTACTAATCATAAGAACTTTATAACTTGCATGTGTTCTGTAAAAGAAAGTTTAAAGTAGAGAACCAAACAGGTGAGTGTATTGATGTCAGGGTCAGAGAAGTAGACAAACAACAAGTAGACAAAAGGTCTCTCTTACTTGTGTCTTTTACATTGAGTGGCTGAGAATGCAAATGTGCTGCCCTCCTCTTTGGCTTTATATTTCTTTGTTATACTTAGACTTGAAGTTTGTTGTTATCATTTCTGGATGACAAATACATATTTAGTAAAAAAAAAAAAAAATCAACAGCAATGTCTAAAGCATTGATATTTTGTCTTATAGTAATGTTAGTACTGCTTTTGCTCTCATTACACTTTTTAAAAAGGATAAAAGAGACAGGTAAGAATTGAAAGTATAAATCCTATGAAAATGATATATCTCGATGATCTCTATGAAAACCTATATCTCTGCTACATTAATAATTGTTCAAAACTGTGAAAAACTGCACTAATAATGACAAAAATTTTAAATATTTAAATCAAACTGCTGAAATATCATATATATCAAACAATCACAGGGTATATTCAAGTTCTTAGAAACACTTGTTGATCTACCAAGACAAATAAATGGGATTTAATTGGACCATTATTAATGTCAAAAGAATTTGTGTATATGATTACTTTGTCAGTCCAAAAAAGCTTTCGCAAGTCTAAGCCAAAAATATCAATCCCTTCACTGAAAACACACAGCAAATACTGCACAGGCTAATTCTACAAAGATGCAAATGAGTCAGAGCAAACAACTTTATAGCAAACAAACTATCAGGAAAAGTGATTTTATCATAACCTCAATCATTTCACACACTGGCACAGACAAATTTACATAGCTAAGGCTAAGGCACCATAGAAAAGATTTTTTCCACAATTTGAAAAGAGGTCACATTGTAAACAACCAGCTCAGCCTCAGTGATCCCATTCCTAAAAACACCAACACCAAAAAAATTATTGAATAAAGTCCCCAAAAAATAGGCATTTTCACAGACATGTAAATAAACCAACTTTCTCAACATAGCTTCTTACCATCCTCTCTCTTCTGCTGTATTTATCGTCTATGTGTTTAGGAAACATACTTCATGACAGAAGCCTGCAGTGGTGTGTGGAGTGTAGAGTCTGTCAACTCGCAAGTGGAACTATGGGAATCATGCTGAGCGAATAACTTCCTGAAATCCAGTAAGTGACACACATTGCTGGCAGTGGCTCAACAGGTTTATCTCCTCTGTTTCCCTGTCTGATTTTATCAGCTATTCTGTCTTTGTACTTGTATGTTTATGTGGAATAAAGATGGTTAGATTAATGGGTTATCCAAAAAAAAGGTTTTTGTTTTTCCTAAATAGTTAATAGGAAGGAATTCTTAGACAATGGCAGAAGCAACAACTTGGCAACACAGTTAAAAGGTAAGCTGATAACACACCAAGCACCAGGGAGACAGTGACTCAGTGTTTAACACAGTGGCAGCTAGATTTAAATCTAGATCAATCCACTGTAGGCTGTGTAGCAGACAGCCAGCCAATGTACAAGAGACTCACTTTTATTCTGTGGTCATTAATTAAAAGGGAAAAAATGCACAACATTTGCTTTTGCTCCCAGATCTCTCTCAGATCTTTAACTTAAACCTGTGAAAATCACAAGTTTGTGTTAAAGATCTGAGATTTTTTTTTATCCACACTAAAAACTAATTTCTCAGAAATTCTAGGTGCAAAATACTTGTTAATAAGCATTAGGATGGTTACAACAAAAGGCTACTCTTAAATATGCAGTTTGATCACACAACACAATTACACAGATGCTCCAGGTTTTGAGTGAGTGTTCCATTGGCATGCTGACTGCAGGAATGTCCACCAGAGCTGTTGCTGGTCACCTGGGCCCAGTATTTCAAAACTTGTAATCTGGATCAGAATAATCCGGACAATGAAATCCTCCTTTTCTCAGTCAGGGATCAAGGTGATCCTGCTGACTTTATCTGGGTATTTCAAAACATTGGCAGGGTGGATCACTTTGATCCCAATCTGACTGGATATGGATTTCCAAATCTCATGACTCCGCCCCTGGATCTGAATCATTTCCCCTTTGGGGGTTTGTCTTTCAGATTATGACCAGAGATATTGGATAATGGAGATACCCCACGGATACCCAGAAAACGGTTACTCTTCCTGTCTCCTAAATGGGCGTGGTTAGCTCTCCCTCCAATCAGAGCCTGTTCTCCCTCTTCTTCCCTTGTTTTCTGAGACGGACAGGGCTCAAACAAAATTAACTTTCTCTTGATCTGTGCGGATGAAAAATGCAGCTTAGTGTCAGAATGTTGGTAAGATGTGTGGCTTGTGGAAAATGAAACCAATATTTACTTTAGTGACTATAGGGCGAAAGAACTGACCATAAATTGTGATCATGTTCATCTTCCTCATTGACGACAATACATTCAGAGCTGCAGCAAGTCTCCTACGGGGGTGTGGCGCTGATGTCACTGAATCAGGAAGTGAGCTGAGTGGGGTATCTCGCTTTATCCATTATTTTTATACAGTCTATGGTTATGACCCGTTGCGCTCTGTCTACATGGCGGACTACTTCACTAAAGGAGCAGTTGGTAGCACAGATTTCACATCAAAATGTAAATTTATCGTTGCCTAATGTGTAGCGTTTTTAAGACCATATGAAGGCCACACACCATCTGATGTGAGCCAGCTATTTGAATTGTTACCTACTTAAAACGTGGGCGTACCGATCTCTAATTGAGCTGAGGTCATGCTAACGGTAGCTAACGCGGCTCCATTGACTTGCATGTTAAGTAACGTTAGCTAGCAGGCTGGCGAGGTAGCTGGCTTTGTTGGTGTATTTTGCGGTCTATGGCTTAATTTAAAAGGGAATTAATCTGAAGTACGTCACAGATGAACTCTTTAAACACCAGCCTGTTCAGAGTTTATCGTTATGTTATTGCCAACACAGCGGACTTTTTATAAAAAATGTTTTACATGTGTACAGAGCAGACTGCTGCAGTAGGCTATAGGAAAAATACACAGTACTAGTATGAATTATGCGGTTCATTCATAAGTGTCAGAGGACTGAGTTGTTGTCCATGTGCTTATTATGTTAATCCCTGTGTTGTTTCTTGCACTCTCTGTAAAGAAAAGAATGTGGTATACAAATAAATTTGCTTTGCATTACATTTCCTTGCCTTTGTCTGACCACAAATATATGTTGGATGTTTTGGTACAAACAAGTTACAATGTTAGGTGAAACTAGACATTGAGAAATAGGTCTGTATTTGTTACTCTTATTTACAGCAGTTTTTTTTTTTAATTTTTATTTCGAACATTAATAAAAACAAAATGTAGATGATCAATAGGTAATCAGTCGTAAAAAAAAAACAATCATAGTAACAGAGGTAAATATTTAGCGAAGTATGGCCAAACAATATTTGTCTATGCTTGAAATTACTTACAACTAAAACACTAATTTAGATTAAGTGTAATCAACATCTTGAGTAACAATATGTAGGCGAGGTGGAGCTGAGGCTTTGTCAAATCCACCTCTGAGGTGGGTTCCAGATAATCCTGAAATTTGGTATCAAATTGATCCAGATCTCTGCCTTAACTTTTGAAATACCCAAATGCAGCCTTTATCTGGATTAAAGGGAGGCTTGGATTACCAGATCTGAATCCTGATCCTCAGGATCAGGATCCTCTTGATCTGTGTTGAAATACCCAGTTTTCAGATCAGATCAGGATTTAATCCAATCCGGCCAGGATAATCCTATCAGATAACTTTGAAATACTGGGCCCTGGATGTTTGACCACCTGGATTTGACTACCATTATCTATCTCCAATATTTTCTGTGAATTTTGCAGGACATCCAACCAGCCACACAGCCAAAGACCACATGTAACCACACCAGCTAAAGAGCTGATGCTTGGCTTAGTCAATTTGTGAAGCCACACATAACTGTCACTTGCCAATTAGCTCAGTGAGATAGAAGACAGACCTCAGTCTCAGAAGTTGTGAGTTCAAGCCTCAGCTAAGGCAGAATGGACATTCTAATGTGAAAGTCCTATGTTCAGGCGTCATGCTATGTGGATTAGAGACTACTAAGGTTAAAATAATTATGATCCAGGCAGTTTTGCGGAGAGACAAATACTCTTTATAAACACTTTTCCCTGTTATCCCCGTCTCTTTTCCCTGTTTATTTGGCTTAGCTATCAGTCAATATGCAGAGTCTATCTAATAGCTACTTTTACATTTTAAAAATGTTTTCATCTTTGTCACCATGGATAATGTTTTGCTTTAAGCTAGATCAGGCCAGTTTGTTCATAATTGCTAGCAGTTAATGTTATTCTTACTTTCTTGTTCTTGAGTTTTTTCTTTCCTTTGAGTCTGATCACTTCAGCCACTCATCCACAATTTGAAGGGCATGCCATTCAGCCACTCATCCACAATTTGAAGGGCATGCCATAATTATATGATGTAACTTCTATGTTGTGATATGCTTTGTTTTAGTGTGTGTATTGCTCAGAATTGCCTAATTTTGCCTAAAATTGCCCGGCCCCTACCATTGCTGCGCAGCAGCTATAATTTGTAATTGGCCTCAGTTTAGTTGGACAGGCTGACATTAGCTGTATGACTACAACTGAGAGTATCCACAACTTTGTATTGCACATGCTTATACACTGAATTTATTGTATATTAAAACTGAATGGTACAAGTTTAATGTTACAGTCCCATTTTAAAGCAGCTGTGCGGAACTTTTTACCATTAATAAAACTGTCCCTAGTTCGTATCAACCCCCCTTGAAGATCCGCATATTTATTTGAACCCAACAGCGTCAAAAAAGCCTTTCTCTATATGGCTATTTAGCGTAGCCTCGCTTGGGTCGGACACACAGCGGAAGTCAGCAAACCAGAATACGGCACCCAAGGCGGAAGTGATTGCTCGCCCGCAGCGATTAAACCACAGAAGAAGGAGCCGTGTTTACAGTGTTCTGAGTAAGCAGTACGCAACAGGCATTGCTGAACACATAACACCTAAGAGTTTTACCAGAGATGTATCTATGAGGACTTGGTTGTACTTTTGATGTCATGGCGGATAAAGAAGGAGCATCATCTAAAATGATCTGTGACTGTGACCATGAACACAAATATAGGAGCAGGCAGTTGTCCTCAGTTTATAAGAAATTCAGAGCTACACCAGAACATTTATGAACAGGTCTTACTTTACTACAAATTTGTGTGTGACGTTAGCATGTTTCCACTAATTACTTGGACTGACCTAATGTTAGTAGCGTTAGCTTTGCAAGCGAAGGCTGCAGGTAACAGCTTTACTGTGTTAGGATTATGTTATGTCTTCACTGTGTATCTTCACATAAAAGAATACTCAGATGATTTGGGAGTTATGCCCTTTCTCTATCATTTTCATATTGAGACAACATGATCGATATCTTTTTTGTGTCTGTACATCCAGTGGCTGGGTCTCAGCGGTTAGCATTGCGCTTATAGGGGGTCAGTACGTCCTGCGCTGTGATCCACAGAGGGATACACCAGTGAGCAGGCACAGACGTAGCTTGTAAACAAAACTCAGCTGTTTATTTAGCCTAGCAATATCTCCGGACTATAGAAGCTGCAATGGACGACTTTTAACGCGATTTTGAGAGTTTCTTGTAGCGGACACAGATCCAGAGCCATACTACCTGTTTGAGCCGGAGTACACAAATGAGGAACTCCATGTGTTGGATGCTGAGCAGGCGAGAAGAGAGGCTGAATCCTCCGCTCCCATTTTGCTGCACAGAATGGGATTCGGTGCTACCATCGTTGGGGAGATATATCATCAGGAGGAAAAGCGCCGCAGAGAGTGCATCACAAGGAGTGAAAACTTTGCAGCAATCACTAATCCTGGCGTGATTGAAACTTTTTTTCATGTTCCTAAGATGAACTGGAAAAAAAGGCCCCAGGCCTGCAGGAGCTGATGGACAGCTTTCAGTCGAGTGAGTAATATCATCCGTGTCGTCCCTTTGTTTGCTTTTACCGAGTGACCTAGCGTACCTGTCCCAGAGCCAGCTGCAGCAGTTGCTCACCGGTGTATCCCTCCGCGCAAGATGTACTGCTAACCGCTGTCTCAATATGAA